AACCCTGGCTGCTGTGCTCTGCCTAAGAAGGCGCTTTAGTCTACTGAGCCGGCCCTAATTTTTTGTATTATTAATTATTTGAAAATCTTTGGAAGAATGCCAATTCGAATTCTTTGGCCATTTTTAATTAGATTAATAATCTTTTTAATTGTAAGTTGCAAGAGTTGTTGGCTTAGACAAAAGTGACTCATCAGATGCATGATTTGCAAATATTATCTCCTGGGCTGTGGTTGTTTATAACTTTTTTGAAGAGGTCCTTTTTTTTTTTTTTTTTGGTGGAACCAGGGATTGAACTCAGGCCCTTGCACTTGCCAGGCAAGCACTTATTCTACTGAGCCATCTCCCCGGCCCCAAAGAGGTCCTTTTAAGCACAAAAGTTTTTACTTTTGATTAATTCCAATTTATCTTATTTTTTCTTTAGTTGCTTATGCTTCTGGGATCATATGTAAGAGAACTTTGCCTAATCTAGTGTCAGGAAAATGTATTCCTATATTTTCCTGTAAATGTTTATTATGGACTGAATTGTATCCATCTTCAAATAAATTTATATACTGAGGCCCTAACTCCCAGTATAATGATATCATTATCTAACATCTATAATGATATCACTATCTAATATAATGATATAATGATATTATGTTGGGAGTTAAGGCCTTTAAGGACATAATTAAGGTCATTAGGGTGGGCTTCTAATCCAATATGACTAGTGTCCTTATAAACAGGAGAAACATCATGAGAGTGCAGGCACAAAAATGAAAGGTCATGTGAAGACACAGTGACAAGGCTGCCACTTGTAAGTCAAAAGAGAGGCCTCGCCAGAGCGCAACCTGGCCAGCACCTTGCTCTTGGACCATTTCAGTGAAGTTTATTTTCTCTACAATGTGCAGCCGCTAAAGTTCTTCCAAGAATGTAACCTTGGGCAGGTGTACTGTCACACTGGGAAAATAGGGTGTTAGTGGGGGGAGCCTCCTTGAGTATCTCTTTCTCTGATCTGTTTGGTGTTTGTATCTATTGGTATCATACTCAGCTTCCTGCCTCCCCTAATTTCAACTGGTTACTCTACAGTTATATATACAATGCCACAAGGCACAAATTATTCCATAGTCTCATCAACTTAAACTCAGGGCAATTTTCAGGCCATTTTGACTCATATCTTTATGATATAAATTCCAACAGGAGGAAGACTCTATTTTGCTCTTTCCTTGTTCTGCTAAAATTTCCAGCTAGTATCTGGCTTAGCATCTTGCCCATGAACATTTGGTCTCGTCTTAATTGCTTAGAACTAAAAATATCCATTGTTTCTGAGAGTGTCCTTAGGTTTGAACTTTCCCACATTGTCTCAGTTACTTTTGTCTCCTTGCTTGGACAAAATACCTAACACCCAGAAATAAGGCAGGAAGGGTTTGTTTAGCTCACAGTTAGTGGAGGTTTCAGTCTATTCTTGGCTGACTCCAAGGCAGAGTGGCACATGGCAGAGGGCAGCAGTTTATGGCAGTGGAAACAGAAAAGAGCAAAGGGAGGAGCAGCAGCTGTGGCAACTAGCAAGCCTCACTCCCTCCTTATTATTGTGTTCAGACTATCAGCCCCAGGGCAGGTGTAGCACTCACATCCATAATCCCAGCATTGGATCATAGATTAGTCACAAACTCTAGAAGCTGTCCCAGTGACTGCATGAGGCTTTGGGGGGATAACAAGACACAAACCATAACATACATTTTCTTCCAAAAAAACAAATTCTCTTGGAAGACCTGGAGCTTTGTTCTTACAGTTTATATCTTCTCCCAAACAGAATTTCTATGCTAGTGCTCCAAAGTTAGTGATGAGAACAGTGGCCTATTACTTTTGGAGTGACATTCCTACTTTTCTGAGTACAGGGAAGGAACAGTAGCCTTTGCTCTCCTTAGCTTGGCTCTCCCAATGTGGATTCTCCACTCTACTAGAGAGTTGGACGAAGGACACTCAGGGCCTAGTATTCTCAGTTAAGGATGCCTGCAGTACTGATCCTACCCATCCAGGGGCTCAGAGTGAGGAGGAAAGGCCTTCTGGATTTCTAAACTGTTCTTTCCAGGACTACAGATTCTGGAACATGCAGCAGGGATGAGAAATGAGGGCACTCTGCATCTGTTGGGGAAGCGCAGTAGCCTTAAACTGCAGCTAAGGGGAGAGGGCACTTGCACTCTTGACTATGCCCACTCTGAACAATACTTATGTTAGGATGAGCTGGGGTTAGGGATGGAGTAGGATGAGACTCAAATGGCAATCCTTCACTCCTGGTACCAGGATTTAGTAGATTACCTGGAAAAGTGTCTTACCAATTGCTATGTGCCTTCTTGACACTTTTCAATGACTTTAAAGGCTTAGGTTTTTGGACTTTTGTTTGTTTGTTTTGTGGAACTGGGGATTGAACTCAGGCCTTTTTAGCATTTATTATTGCTTTGCTGAGGTACGGTCCATGATGCTCCTCATGCTGCCATACTGTCACTTTCACTTGGATTCTGCTTAAGGGTATCTTATTTTTTTCTGTATTTAGGACAGGGTCTACCGTGTCTACAGGGTCTCACTAAGTAGATCGGACTCATAGTGATTCTCCTATTTTCAGCCTCCTAAACTCTGGGATTAAAGGTGCACGCCACCATGCCCAGTCTTTATCGCTGTCTCAGTGTGCCCTGGGGGCAGGCCTGGCATGGCAGGCCAGTGATTGAACCCCGGCCACTGCACTCTGCATAAGCAGGCACTTTAGTCCACTGAGCTATCTGGCCAGCCCCCTATCTAAGTGTATCTTTTAATTAATTAATTAATTTATTTATTTATTCATTTATTGTGGAACCGGTGATTGAACTCAGGCCCTTGTGCTTGCCAGGGGAGCGCTTATTCTACTGAGCCATCTCCCCGGCTCCTATCTAAGTGTATCTTAACCATGGCTGAAATTAAGTATTCAGAAACATGAGCAGAACTGCTACATATTTTATGAAGATCCTTATAATCTATCAATTATATTTCACATAGTATCTTGTCATTTGCAAGGCAACTGTCTTATGTTCTTATTTTCTGTGTCATTTTGCTAACCTCTTAACTAGTCTCATTTAAATTTTATCCCCTTCCTGTCTATTATGCTGCTGCTGGAGTGAGTCATTAGAAAGTTACTTGATTGTCCACCTTCAATGGCTCTCTACTGATTGCAAACTAAGCACCAAACTATTTGCCATGATACACAGGTCCTTAAATGGTTAGTTCTAGCTTTCTACTTTACCATTTTCCATGCACATTTTATACTGCAACTGTAGAAAATACCTTGTCTTACCTTGATGGCAAGTAATTTTCAAGCTCCTGTGCTGTATTCATGTTATTCCTTTCCCTTTTCTGACTTGTGATTTTCCACTTATTCCTATGTATTTTTCAGAGGCCTGATCAAATAATAACCATCTTATTCTAAGCACTTATCAAAGCCAGTTGAAAAATCAAATGTTAAATCAGGAGCTAAAAAACATATATTGAATATATCTCAAGATTTTTTTTAGTATATTTCTATTTTAATTATGGACTCAAAATTTAAAGTCACCATGGTTAGTTACTGTTTATGTTGTTAAAAAAAACCCTCAAGAACTATTATTAAAAATATTAGAAATTAAATTATGGCTGCTATTCAATTTAAATCAATGAAACCTAAATATATTTGTTCTGAGAGAAATTTCTTTTCCAAAAGGACACTGTATGTGCATATACAAAATTCATCTTCTGGGATGAGTTCTATTAGAAGGAGAAAAAAAGGAATATTTATTACCAAATATTTACTTCTGTAAGCAAAGAACAAATGTGTGGGACTGGTGAGATAAAGTGCCTGCATAGGGAAGCAGGCAGGCACAGGGGACTGTGGTTCAATCCCCAGCACCATATGCTTCCCCGGGCCAGCCCTCAGGGTGGGCTGAGCTGGCTAAAAAAAAAACAACAAAGGACAAATGTGACATTCCCACCTCGGATGTTCTAAGTGGGAAGGAGCTCTTTAACTAGACAGAAAGATTAAGAAATTGAAATGCCAAAAGTATGGTATTGGTAGGGGTGTAACTCAGTGGTATAGTACTTGCCTAGCATGTAGAAGCCCCTGGGTTCAACTCTCAACAATTAAAAAGTGTTGTTACAAGAAATATATTGACTTACTTAGAAGATCTGGCAAAGATCTTACTAGTTTATAAAATGGATGTTGTGAGATTTATGCTTATTTTCCTCAATTTAGTATAAATAGAAAAGGTTATGTTATTTCTTTTTTGTAATACTGGGCACTGAATCCAGGGTCTTTGCTAGGTCCCCAGCCCTTATCTTTTTTTTTTTGAAACAGAGCTTTGTTAACTTTCCCAGGTTGGGATCTAACTTGTGATCCTTTACACTTTAATTTTTCAGGTCAACGATCTAGGGTGAATAACAAAGGCACCTTGGAGGAGTGTATTATTCAACCACAACCAAAAAAAAATTATTCAGATTCTAATCAAGTAAGTAATTCCTTAAACGTAACACAATAGGGTCCTGAGTTCAATCCCCAGTACCACAAAAAAACCCACAAATGCCTATAGACAGATGCCTTATTTATAATACATGCATAAAGAGTATATATTCTAGGTGATTCAGTTTATACTTATACTAATGTAGGTTTATCAGTGTACAGTATAAGAACCAGAAACAAACCCTAACTCTTTCTTCCTACTCCTTTTATCTGAGGATTAGTAAAAACAGCATCCATCTGAAGAAGGTTATTCTAGACTTCCTCGTTCTCATCTTATAAGAATATACACTAGTGCTCTACACTTGTTTCTCAACATACTAGATATTACCTAGACCTCAAAGAGTTGTTTTTCTACACAAAACGTGCAATGTCATTGTTTCCACTGTGCTCCTTTGAACAATATAAACAACTATGTTATTTTCTGACCAATATCTTTGGAGAAACAAAGTGCTAGAGCAAGAACTCTAAGCTCAGAGGCTTGCAGTACTTCTTCCCTGGAACTGACCTGAGGCAGTCATTTGTGCTAAGAAGAGCAGGTATACAGAGGTAGCATCCAACTGTAGGTGTCCCCACTGGTCATCACCCACTACAGTGCTGCAAGTTTTGGTGTTGTACTTGGCATGGAGACTATCTTTAGTGCTTTGACTATATTTGAAGGACTCTACTTTATCCACCTGAAAAAAAAACAGTAAGAGAAAGATATTTGGAACAATCAATTCATGTGCCACATTTCTGTAGTATTTATATCATTGAAGGCTGTCTTCAGGTAGCTGTGAATATTTAAAATGCATTGTTACTTCTTTTCCCCAACACTAATATAACTGTTAAAAACTTGTTACTATTTTTCAGTTGAAGCAATTTAATAGGAAAATAATAACAAATGGTGAAAAACTGCTATTTCTTATTCATTGACTCTTTCACTCTCCATATGGTTGTTTTGCCACATTGCAGATGTAAACTGAGAATCAAAGTATTTCAGTGAGAACAGCTTAGTAAGAGGTAACTCAGTGTTGTACATTTACTACTCAAATTGAGGTAAGAATTTTTAGGGAAATTAGGAAAGTTGATATATTTTGAAGAAGTAATGAAAGAAGATGGTGAGATATATGAAGAATGACAAAGAAGGTATAACACAAAGCTGAAACTAGAGACACTGGAGGCTGAGGATATAGTTCAGTGGTATACTATGTGTCTAGCATCCATGAGGACATGAGTTCGGCTCCCTTACTGAAATGAGCAAGGTTCAGCAGGGAAACACTGGGCAAAAGACAGTTAAAGGACTTAGTTCCTGAAACTTAGATTTTACTATTTATGTCTGCAGTATATGGTAGTAACTACTACACCTTAAAATGTTATTTATTAAATTATTGACTTTAAGCCTATTGGTAAGACAGAAAGTGGAAATATTTAAAATAGAAAAACATTGCAGTGACAGGGGACAAGTAAGTAGTTGTGATAGTGCAATAAAGACAGCACTAATAATTAAGGTCAGAAGTCTAGAGTTAATTTCTTTCTAGTTTAGATTTGTTGTGTCTCTTCTGTGTCTGTAGGCAACCACTTTACCAATCTGGGCTTTAATTTCATTTTCTAATGCAACATAATTTCAATTTCTAGAAATCGGTGAGACATGTTTTAAGATCTAGGATTAAGTAATTTGTTATTAAAATACTTTTGTACAGCGAAAACCTAAACTTAAAAGATAAATAGTAAACTACTAAAAAAAAATCTATGGGCCAGGGAGATGGCTCAGTGGAATAAGCGCTTCCCTGGCAAGCACAAGGACCTGAGTTCAATCCTGGTTCCGCCAAAAAAACAAAAAACCCTGCAATGCATTTAACAAATGATTCATGTCCACAATACATAAACACTCCTCAGTAAGTAAGAAAGAGACAACCTAAAAGGAAAATAGGCATAGGACCAAGTAGGCACTTTATCAATGAGGAAATGCAAAATTTCAATCTACTCACGAAAGGATGCTCAACTTCACTCAATGTTGAGAAATGTAAATTATTGCAAATCCAAGATCCTTTATCTCCAGTCTTAAAAACCCAAACACCTTGAAAAGGTTTCTCAGGTAAGTTTTACTGCCAGAACTCTTTTGGTGGGAAGTGGGTATATTAAGTAATGCCAGCTGAGCCTGTGTTCCGGTTCTGCTTCCAAAGAGTGAGAATGGCCACCAGGGAGACCTAGCAAATCCAGCCTTTGCTTCCAGATGAAGAAAGCAATCATAGTGACAAAAAAGAGTGGTGGCATTAAAAAAGGGGTCTGATAGCTGAGAAAGTCATGAAAATTTATGCAGTAAAATTTATGCCAAAGCAGATGAAAAATAAAACTGAGATTATAGCATAAATGTTTTCTGTCCTGCTTTTTACTTGATATCACCTGGTGAGCATGTTCAAAATTACTATAGTTGAAAAACCTGACATTAATAGCTACAGAGAATTTCATAATTAAACAGAATCTCCATTGTAGCTTCATCATTAGCCAAACACCGCATCTGCTGGGGGAGATAATAATGTTAGTGGTTGAAAATCCCTTTCCAGTTTCTGCTAAAAGAGGCTATATGACTCACACAGGAGAGTTAAGAGATGCAAGTGGATGCCTGCTTAACAAAGCTGTTGGGTGTTCTGCTACAAATGGACAGACTGGGCAAGCATGAATCTTTGCTCTTATCTCTTCACTCTGCTTGGAATGCCGACATGAAACCTAAGAGCACCAGAGCCAGTTTTTGGCTTAAGGAAGACAGTTACTTGCTTTGGGTACTACAGTGGAAGCCTGGGGAGCTTGGACCCTGATGGATTGCTGACCTCTGAACTTCCTGATACATAAACAGAAGGAACATGCTGCTTGTTTAAGCCTCTGTCGGGTTTCTGTTACACGCAGCTTGAGTGTAGTCCTAAGTGATGCAGTAAATCCTGGCCAGACATTCTTGTATAAACATCTCCATTTCTGGTGGTTTCTATAGAGTGAATTGCTATAAAGCAGAAGTACTGGATCAAAGTATTTGAATAATTTTAAAACTACTAAGGTCCATTGGTAAATTGCTATGTAGAGAGGTTTTTAACTATTTCATTCATTTTCCATCCCAAGAGCCCACTTCATTTTATCCATAACAGTGCAATGGCCTTGGGTTTAGGTCAGGCTTTTAATTTTAGTCAATTTGATGTTTTAGATTGGTTTGTAATAGTCAAATTTAATTGGCATTTTCTTTGCTCTACCAGGAAGAATAAACTGTTCTTCATGCATTAAGTATTTTATATTTCTTGGAGTGACTTTTTGTTCATTTTCATTTGTATATTCACTATTTTCTTACTAATTAGTAAATTATATAACTCCTATGTCATATTTTGTTGATCTGTTTCTGAACTTTCCTAATAATTTATAAGCTGTGCATTCTGCAGTCTTTTTCTTTTCCTGTGTTCTAGGGAAGGGTCTACAGGGTGTTCAGGGTCTCACTACTAGATGGGACTCGTAGTGATCCACCTGTTTCAGCCTCCCAGGAGCTGGGATTACAGGCATGTGCCATGCCCAGTCTCAATTGCCACCTCAGTGAGCCCCAGAGGCGGGGCCAGCACTACAGGCCTGGGTATTGAACCGCGGGCTCTGAGCCTGCTTGCTGCCGTCTTTTCTATTATTCTGTTTCACACAAAGAATCACTTTTTTAAAATGTCACTTGGTGGCAATGGTAGATTCAAACTGATACAGGTGTATTTCCATAGACTTTATTCCATTTGTTTTCCCACAGAGGTACACTTTTGATTATAGAGCACTGTCTTAGATCCACTGATAGAATAAGATAGCATATGTAATATACTACCTTTTAAATCTGAAAAATTTCAATTCTTTTAAAATTCATTGTTTTTGTATTACTGAGTATTGGTCCCAGGGCTTCACACATACTAGACAATTGATTTACCACAAAGCTGTGTGCCAGCCCTGAAAATTCATAATTCTAAAGTTGATCTGGCCACAAGAGTTTCAGATGAGGGTTTTAGACCTACATTATCTTTTACCCTGTATAATAATTGCATGTACAACAACACAGAATCACATTAAGCATCATTTGTACAGGGAAAAAAAGGACTGGAAATATTTCAGTGATAACTGGGTAGTGAGATTATAGGTCACATTTTTCACCTGATTTTCACCAATTTTCTAAAATTAGTGTGTACTATTTGTGAAATTGAAAAAAGATAAGCCATAAGCATTCTCTAAGAGGTGGACATATTATTATGAGGCACTTTTGCTAGAGAACAAGTTGTAACCAACACCATACCTGTCTGATCATGCAGTGTAGCAGTCCTCTCATCAGCTTCACTACACTCTGCAGAAATAAATGGAAACCAGACTGTTATAAACATCCTCAGATGTGAGAACACTTACTCAGCAACTGCAGTTGGCTCCTGACATTTCGAGAACAAGTAACTCTATCCTGGGTTCCTATTTATGTGGCATTTACTTTATAGGTACATAGAAGAGCAGATTTCAGCAAAAAGTGGAACCAAATGTTACAGTCTGTGATTCTTTCAGTTTAAAAAATAACAATACAAACGTTGGTAAGTTTATGCAAAAATAAATCAGCCATCCTAGTAGAGGCCATGCCACCTGAAGGAAAAAGGGCAAGGTAGTTCAAAAATCCTAGGGCTCTGAGGATACTGTAAAATCCATCCTGTGGCCTAGAAAGGTTGTCACATTACTTTTTATGTTTTCTAAACTAACCAAGAATTAAAATTCCATAGAAATAACTATCTGGATTTTCCCCAAGGAAAAAAGTGTATTCTAACTCAGAGTAAGTGTAAAGTGGGATGGTTAATATGACACAAAACTTGCTCCATGGAGGAAAAAAGAACAGATTTTTTAATTCTTCAGGCATCACTATTTCTCTTACTAGGGCTTAAGAAATTTTAAAGTATTTTGTTTTCCAATTATAACATTCCAAAATTCTGACCACCACATGACACTGTTTTTGTCCTCCTGGAATGGCCTTTATCAACCATTTTTTGTCTTCAAATTCCAACAACAGCAGTAGCATGGGTAGGTATGTTCTGAAGGAACATAACACTTAAAATCCTCAGCAATTCTCTAAAAGGCTTTCTGCTTCACAGGTCATTAAAAAAATCCAGCCAGGTTACTTCTGAAGACTAATCTGTTTAAGAGTCCCATCATTTTGTTTTTCCTTCAAAAACATATTCAAGTAGGACTATAGACAATAAGTGTGATAAAGATAAATATTTATTTTTAAGGACACTTGATTTTTTTGGTATATGTTTGTAATACCAAATTACATATAACAGAGCATAAGTTTCTACTAAAAAGTATAATCCAACTATTTATGAAGCTTTTTACTGAGAAGATAGTAACTTTTTTCCTTGGGAGAGTCCTCTTTCTTTAGTAATTTTTTCTATAAATGTTCTCCTCCCTTTAGTGATAGAAGATTTTAAAAGACAGAAAGAACAGGCAGTGCATGATCTTGTCACATTTGAAAGATTATGGTGGTTATTATCTCCATTTATAGTCACTAATGAACTGACTATAAGCCCTAAAAGAAAATCCACATCATTACTTTGACCCCAAAGAAAAAGACCATCTTTGTTAATATTTCCTATTACTTAAAATATTGGACACATCTCCTCTGTGGGGACATTTTGGTTAATTCTGATACATGTCTTTAAATACCCAAAGGTTTCTACCACATTCTTTCTGTTCCAACATTCAATTAGTGTGAGTAGGAAGCAGGGAAAGGGGCTTGAACAATGTTTTGTAAACATTGGCTTCTTTACCATTTCACTATGTAAGACACTTTATCTTTTGCCTACCCATCAGCTCTCATTACCATCTAGCCCCATTACTATCATTTAAATTTAATTAAATTTATGCAGGAAACTTGGACAATCACACACTCAGTGGAAGATAGGTAACTGCAATCTAATTTTGTCCTCCTGGAGAGCCATTTATCAGCCATTTTGTCTTCAAGTTCCAACTTCTAAATTGGGATAAATTTAATAGGAAGCATGTGGAGATAGGAGTTCCAGGACTGTGTTTTCACCCAAACTGGCTACTTTCCTAGTCACATGCATTGGCTGACATTATTTATACATGCACCTTCATACACCAGTGCTCCTACTCTCAGTAAGTAGCATTCCCTTTCACCTACTCTTTTTCAGGATATGGATCTATATATCTGTGACCTAACAGTCTAAAAATACATGGCTGTACACAATCTCTCTCTCTCTCTCTCTCTCTCTCTCTCTCTCTCTCTCTCTCTCTCTCTCTCTCATATTTACTGAATCTCTGGCAGGTTTTGTAGCACATGAAAGCAAGGAGATAGCACAGATTAGTTAAACAAACTTAAGTATAATATTCTCTACCCAGGAATTCCTGATTGTGCTTTGAAATCCATTCCTTCTGTGAAGCATTCATCACTTTGTTCAAGTTTAGACATTTCCACCACAGAACTTTGTACTTGTGATGGTTAAGCTTAATTGTAAAACTAACTGGATTAAGAAACTCTTAGGGGTGACTGGATCATGGGGATGCTGTAATAGTCAGCGGAATAATCCTTTGATGTTCATAGTTGAATGTGCTATTAGGAGGTGGGTTGTGGAGCTGTGTCTTTAGAAGGTGTGCCTCTCACTGGTGCTTTGCCCCTGTGAACTAATTCCCAATTATCATGAAGTAAGGAACTATGCTCCACCATCACCCGCCACCATGCCATTTCTGCCTTGGAGCCAGCTGACTACGGACTAAGCCTTCTGAAAGTGTGAGCCAAAATAAACTTTTCTTCCTTAAAGTTGTGAGTGTCAAGTACAATGGCACCTTGGTAAATGAATGCTTTTGTTTGCCAATGATTTGGTGCCCAAACAAAAGCATTTGGCAAACTTTTGTTTTTGTGAGCTCTGCATTGGGTGATGAACACAACTACAGACATCTTTCCTGCACAAACATGACTGTCCTTTCCAGAATTGTGGAATAAATTAAGTTTGTGAACCAAGGTACCACTGTATTTTGTACCAGCAACTGCGAAGTTAGTACAGAAAACTGGAGCTCATTGCTGTGACTATACCTAACCAATGTAGTTTAGAAGCCTTTGGTACTGGTTTATGGGGGGAGTTTGTTAATGTTTCGAGATGAAGGATAGAAAACTCATAGAATGCTCGAAGTAGAGCTTGATGAGCAATTTTAGAGCTCAAAAGATATGAATGCTATTAGGAATACAACAGTAAAGGCCAGGTTCATGAGTTTTCAGTTGGAAACAAAAGACTCAATTGGGGATTGGAATAGAGGTACACTCCAGCAAAATCTTGTCTATATTTGACCCATGTCCTGAGATTTTGCAGGCTGCTCAGTTTACGAGAGGTAGACTAATTTGTCTGCTGAGAAATTTTCAAACTATCTCAATATTCAGTTTGTGGGATGGGTATGACTGGCTGCCTTTAGTCAGATTTATAGTGAGAATTGGGGAAAAAAGAACAGAAACATTTGAACGATTTAAATTTTGGCAGAGGGAAAAACTGAAATCTTTTACTCTCAGATCTGGTACAAGACAAGGATGTCCTCTATCACCACTCCTATTCAATATAGTTCTGGAATCATTAGCTAGAGCCATTAGACAACAGAGAGAAATAAAAGGAATGAGAACAGGTAAAGAAGAAGTTAAATTATCATTATTTGCAGATGACATGATACTCTACTTGGAAGACCCAAAAAAACTCCACTAAGAAGCTACTAAAATTAATACACAAATTCAGTAGCATAGCAGGATACAAAAGTCAATAGCATTCCTCTGCACAGACAACAAACACATGGAGAGGGACATTAGAAAAACAATACCTTTTACAATAGCACTGTGGAAAATGAAATACTTAGGAATTAACCTAACTAAAGAAGTAAAAGATCTAGTCAATGAAAATTACAGTACTCTGAAAAAGAAGATTGTAGAGGATTTCAGAAAATGGAAAGATATTCCATGCTCCTGGATAGGAAGAACCAACATTGTGAAGATGGCCATACTCCCAAAATTGTTGTACAGATTTAATGCAAACCCTATCAAACTACTACCAACATACCTCCCAGACTTAGAGAAATCATTCTTAAAATTTATTTGGAACCAGAAAAAACCTAGAATAGCAAAGGCAATCCTGGACAACAAAGACAAGGCAGGAGGCATTACAATTGCTGACTTGAAATCATACTACAAAGCTACTGTGATAAAGTCAGCATGGTACTGGCAAAAAAAATAGACCTGAGGATCAATGGAATACATTAGAAGATGCAGAAGCCAATAAAAACACAGTCAGCCACCTTATCTTCGATAAAGTGGCCAAACATGCTTACTGGAAGATAGATAGCCTCTTTAACAAACGGAGCTGGAAAAACTGGCTCTCTACATGCTGAAAACTAAAACTTGACCCAGGTCTATCACCATGCACTAAGCTAAAGTCAAAATGGATTACAGATCTAAACATTAAAACAGAGACACTAAATCTCCTGGAAGAGAAAGTATGAGGAACTCTTGAAGACAGAGTGGTAGACAAACAGTTCATGAATAAAAATCAAACTGCATGGGTAATACCTGAAAGAATTAACAACTGGGCCCTTCTCTTATTGGGAAGTTTTTACACATCAAAAGAAAGTATCAACAGAGTGAAAGGACAACCCACAAAGTTGGAAAAAAAAGTCTTAACTAATAAGCACTCAGACAAAGGTCTTCTCTCTAAAATTTATAAAGAACTGAAAAACATTGGGACTTAAAAATGTAAAGACCTAATCCAGAAATGAGCATCCAAGATGAGCACACACTTCTCAGAGAAAGAAATACTAGAAGCTAATAAACATATGAAAAAATGCTCCACATCACAAGTCAACAGTGAAATACAAATTGAAACAACACTTAGATACCATTTCACCCCACAAAGAATGCCTATTAAAAAAGTCAACCAACAACAAATGTTGGAGAGGATGTGGGGAAAAAGGAACCGTTCTCCACTGCTTGTGGGAATGTAGACTGGTGCAACCATTATGGAAATCAGTGTGGAGACTCCTTAAAAAGTTGGGACTGGAAGTCCCATTCAAACTAGCTATCCCCCTTCTGGGAATTTTTCCAAGAGAACTGAAAATATTGTATCATAGTGATATATGTGCACCTATGTTTATAGCAGCACAATTTGTGATAGCCAAATCTTGAAAGCAACAAAGTGCCCATCACCTGAGGAATGGATGAAAAAGATGTGGTGTTTTTATACAATGGAGTATTACTCAGCTATAAAGAATGACAAATTTGAGGCCTTCATATATAAGTAGATGTAACTTGAAGATATACTCATA